TTTAGGTAATATGTATGCAACGAAAGTTTTTGGGATACTTTGTGTATGTTAATTACATGATGCATAATATCTAACTACTGTATTTTGCTCAAGAACTATGATAGATACAGATATTGCCATTGGTTTGAAACCTGTTGATCGCTGCTTGCAGCTATGTTTAATATTTAAAATGTAGACAAACTAATAATCATTCTCGTCCAGATGAAATCTTTAAATTATATATATTTTACTATTAAGGTAGAGATGCATGTTTGTGGGCACTTGGGAGTGATTTTTTTTTTGGTTTTTATTATCCAAACAGTCTTGGCTATAGACTGGTCCACAATTCACAATTAAACAAAATTCTTAACATACTCAAAAAACGATTTTAAAATATAGATAACAGGTGCAAATTTTCTCTCGTTTGAATGCTTAGCAAGATTTAGCAAGGCTGTACATAAATAATAAAAAAAGAAACATGGTGAAAAAAAGTAATGACGGTATCTCCACATTATGCACTATATTTAACTTTTAACAAAACGATAATACATTTAAATTTGAAACTGTTACAGCCATTTTAATTATGAGCATTAGCAAACTTCTTACTGAGTGAACTGTTATGCAAATTAGGAATTATCTCAGCTTCTTTTTAGTGCACATCCCAGAACTTTAAAAAAATAGCTACTAGACGCTTTGACCTTTTGTTTTGAAATTTTCACAAATGATTGACAATGTGTTTATCTTCAAAACGCCGTCGGGGCATTGTTTTTGGTTGATCAGTGTTATAACAATCGTACAGACAACTAGCCTGGGTGTTAATTTATGCATAAACTTGAAGTAGTGAAATTTGGGCTGCTGCCCTGCAAAATTGACAACTGGTAGACAGTTTTCAAGACGGCGCTTTCTTCATAGTAAACAGATGTACCCACAAACCAATTTTGAAAGGAAACAGGAGCTATTTTTTTTAAATCACTTTTGACCAAACTACAGTGTCCATACAAATAAAATACTAAAAAAATTTTAAAATTCATACAACAAGCTTTCCGAAAATATATAGTTTTGTGGACAAGGGAGGTCATCTTGGTTTCCTAATTAACTAATTAAAATACCTGTCAGGTAAACTGCGTCTCTACCTTAAAGAATGAGAATAGAAATAGAGGTATTTATGTAGGGACTACATGAATAGAAAAGTCCAACAATGCAAATGGAAAGTGTCCCACAGCAAACAAATGGCTATGACTGCGGAGTTTTCACATCTTCACGCAAGTAAGTAAAATTTATATTTTTTGGGAGAGGGGGTATCAGTTCTGTTAATAGCAATAATTATTGCTTGCAGAAGTACAATGATATAATGGTGATTGCAATTCACATCTTTCTATCTCAATAAATGGCATGACTGTGGTTTACAATAGATCATTTTTGGTCATAGTAGTGACAAAATGTCTGTCGTCCGCCGTCGTTGTCGTAAACTTTTTCTTGTGGACGTGATTGCTCCAATACTATTTATCCTACCACTGTCAAACTTATATATGTTGTTAATAAGTATACATAGATGACCTGTATAGTTTTTGGAGTTGATCTGGCTAAAATTGTATTTTTGAAGTGTCTAATACATCATTTCTCTACTGTGTGTAATGAATCGTGAACAAAGGTAACACAACACATCTACTTTAAATTAATAGGTCATAGTACATCAATGCCATCTCAAGTTAACACCCCCAACCCCTGAATAAGTTTCCCGCCAAAATTTAATTTGGTGGGAAATGTGTTTTTTAGATATTTGTTAATGCTGCTTCCAGCATGTATAGGGCAAGCCATTTGTAGTTTAACTTTTGTAGTTTTGTCATGGTTTGATTCACAATGACCTACTTGGCGGCCTTCTTGTTTTTGTGCCTCTGGTTTAAATGGGTAAATCACCAATTTGGTTCAACGTTGATTGGCACAGAGACCAACCATATATTTCAATAGTCTTATCAGTATATACAAACCAACAAACTGTTATATGTACTGGAGAAGCAATTTCTAGAACCTGTACGAATTTGTTTTCTGTTGGAATTTGTTCATTTCTCTGCAGTAATCTCAAATCTTGATGCTAGATATTTTAGTTAAAGGTGATAACAAAGATTTCAAACTCGGATTGCTTCAATTAATTTTAAGTGGACAATCAAATATATTAAGTTATAGTAGAACAGTGGAGAAATCAGTGCAGCCCTTTTTAATTTAATACCAGTACCCCAAAAATAATTGGTCTTTGTTTTGAGTCTATAGCAACCTTGACAGTCTGACAGGGTAGATGATTTAAAAGCTATGCATCCATAGCAATTTCCAATTCCAAATCTTGCCACAAACTAATCTCTTAGCATTAATTACATTTTTTCTTATTTTGCAGAAAGATGTATTAAGGTTTCAAAGGCAACTTGTTTATGAAATACTGAATGAAACATTGATATAATTGGAATGCTGACAAAATGTTTACACAGCTAGCTGCTGTTATAGATACTATATATGCCATATTAGAAGTGCACATAATTATTATCTTTTTATTATTTAAGGGCAAAGTCGTAGTAGTGACAAAATGTTTGTCGTCATTGTAAAGTTTTTCGTGAAGACGCGATTACCACTGTAATTCTTGTATTTATTGTCAATCAATATACTTATTGAATTAAAAGGCCACAGTCGCTATCTTTTGGTTATTACATACTCAATACTACCCGATATTTGACATACTGTCATTTTTATGACGAAACAAAACTAAAAATGTATGTGAAAATAAGTGCAATAAGCTTGGTTGACTGCAAATGTATGATGTCAATGTCGGAGTAAATCTGGGCGTTTGAATACCATCGCCAGAATTACTGCACAATAACGGTCAACCATTCATTTTGAACATCCACAATGGCAGGGTAGTGTCTTTTATTGAATTAGTCACAGTAAGGAGCACGTGTCGTGCTGCTGAATGCGTGGTAATGGCATCTGCATCTAAGACGTATGGTGACGCTGTTTCATTAAAACTGTCCTTGAGTTTCGAGTTCGTCCCCGAAATTATTTTACAGTGCAGTACATGTTAACGACTACTACATAATCCACATACAATGACAAGACGTGTGACAATTGTGTGTTCTTTACCAAATAGGAGAACGTAGTCCAGGTAACACCCAAAACCAAATTTGTATGAAAGATAGCGACTGTGCCCTTTTAATTATTGCTACTTTTTATTTTATTTCCTTCATTGGGAACTTTTAAAAACCTTCCTTTGATACTGCATTCATTAAGAATCAATATTATGACTTATTGTGAAATAAAAGGGTACTTTATGTAGCGATCATGTGCTAAAGGAATTACTTATACGTATTTGATAGTACACTTTTCCCTTTCATTGCCAAACAAATACTACTAAGATTGCTATGAGCAGTGCATTTTATTTCTCGAAAATCACTTCATGTACCTAATTTCATAAGATTAGTTGTGAATTCATGGATGAATTATGATTCTGCCATGATTTCCTAATACAGGTCAACATTTCCATTGATTTCAGTGTAAGCATTCAATTCCTGAATTGTTCATTTTCATTCACTTGGTCTTCAGTAGTTCTCCCTTAAACACTTGCGCAAGTCCCCCCCCCCAGTCCAAAGTTGTTTACAATTTCTTTAAATTTTATAAATAACCAAACACCCCAGGGGAGTGTTCAGTCATTTTGTGGATGACAGCAATTGATGATGGTGTGAAAGCGTTTAATTTATAAATGATAAAACCCAATACAAGTAGTTTTCCAGATAATTTACTAAATACCAAGTTATCATGGGGAGGGGGACAATGATTGTGCATGTCAGTTTATTTATCCTAACCTTAGAGTATTATTTTTTGTGCTGGAATAGTATTGTATGAACAATAC